TAAATATATGGACAAAAAGGTAATTTTAATTACATGGAAAACAAAGTTGCATAACAATATAAGCATGATTCATAGCTCAGTTATGAATAAAATCTGTTAAAAAGACACAAGCCACAGAATGGGTGATGATATTTACAAAATATTTAAATGTCAAAGAACTAGCATGTAAAATATAAGATCTTTTCCAAATCATTAATAAAAAGCTAAATGGCCCAAGAGAAAAGAAACTGCTAAATAAATAGGGAGACATCGCCATTTTCACTCTTGGTCTTGTTTACGCCCTGTGTAATAATTTGTCAGATCTTTGTCTTAGGGTTCCTAGCAAAGAGCTAGATATATCTTTGTTATGGATCACACCTGAGTTTATCCTAATGAGGTAACTCATGGTGGACCCTTAAGTAGCTTTGGAATTGGGGCGGTCATCAAAAATACTTTTAGCTAGTCCAATCTCTGAGGAAGAAAGTGGGGCTGGAGACTGGGTTCAATCATGTGGCCAATGATTAATCAATCATGCCTACATAATGAAATTCCACCCCAAAGTTCAGTGGAGCTTTCCTGGTGACACACCCTGCTTTCACAGGGAAAGAACATAGAAACTGTGTACAGATCCCTTCCAGACCTTGCTCTATGTGTCTCATTACTAGGCTGTTCCTAATTTGTATCCTTATCTTTCATAATAAAACAATAATTTTAAGTATAGTGCTTTCCTGAATTCTGTGAGTTGTAGTAAATTACTAAATCAAGAGGAGAGGGAGTCAAGAGAACCTCCTGGAATTGTAGCTAGTTGGCCTAAAGTAAGGGCAGATTTACTGGGGACTATATGCTAAAACCTATGGAGTCTTAATGCCAACTCTGGGTAGCCATACCAGAATTGAATTGTAGTACATCGGTTGGAGATGAAACATATTAAAACCTCATGTTCACAGATTGGAAGACTTAACATGAAGATGGCAGTACTCGCTAAAATTGGCGGGGTGCAGTGGCTCACGCCTATAATCCCAGCACTTTGGGAGGTTGAGGCAGGTGGATCATGAGGTTAAGAGATCGAGACCATCCTGGTCAACGAGGTGAAACCCCGTCTCTACTAAAAATACAAAAATTAGCTGGGCATGGTGGTGCACGCCTGTAGTCCCTGCTACTCGGGAGGCTGAGGCAGGAGAATTGCTTGAACCCAGAAGGTGGAGGTTGTGGTGAGCCAAGATCACGCCATTGCACTCCAGTCTGGGTAACAACAGTGAAACTCTGTCTCAAAAAAAAAAACTCGCTAAAATAATCTGCAGATTCCATGCAATCTCTCCTAATACTTCGGTGGCCTTTGAAATGAAAAGCCACTCCTCAAATCCATATGGAACTGCAGTGGGTACCCAGAATCTGTATGGAACTGCAGTGCAGATCGACCAGGATTTCTAAATCTTCATGACCTCAGATTTGGCAGTTAATTCTTAGATTTGACACGAAAATCAAAGAAAATTACACATCAATTCAAATTCATCCAAGTTAAAAGTTTGTGCTTCAAATGGGTACACAGTGTTTCTACAGGCAGATGATAAAGGTTTAAAGCTAGAGAAAAACCATAGTTGCACAGTACTATGAATACAACAAATACCACTGAATTTATACTAAATACCACTTTAAAATGGTTAAGTGTATCTCGTGAATTTTGCCTAAATGAACAAATCTTGAAAAAAAGGCAAAAGATAATGCAAATGAAAAGATGTTCTGTTTCATTAGTAGTCATGGTCATGCAAATTAACACCATAATGAGATATTACTAAGTATATTAGGTAGGTAAAAAGTGTGACTATTCCAAATGGTGGTAAAGATGTGGCAAAAATGTGGCAAAGGCGGCGGCAAACATACACTGTTGGAAGTAGTGTATATACTTTTTCATACAACCACTTTGAAAGAGTTTGGCATTATCTAGGCTAACATGCATATTTCCTATTACCCAGCAATTCCACTCCTAAGGAAAACATCCACTAGAATGTTCATAACAGTTTTATTAAGAATAAAATGCTGGGCCGGGCGCGGTGGCTCAAGCCTGTAATCCCAGCACTTTGGGAGGCCGAGGCGGGTGGATCACGAGGTCAACAGATCGAGACCATCCTGGTCAACATGGTGAAACCCCGTCTCTACTAAAAATTACAAAAAATTAGCTGGGCACGGTGGTGCGTGCCTGTAATCCCAGCTACTCAGGAGGCTGAGGCAGGAGAATTGCCTGAACCCAGGGGGCGGAGGTTGCGGTGAGCCGAGATCGCGCCATTGCACTCCAGCCTGGGTAACAAGAGCGAAACTCCGTCTAAAAAAAAAAAAAAAAAAAAAAAAAAAAAAAAGAATAAAATGCTGGAAACTGCTAATTATCCACATAAAAAATATGTCGGACAAAATATACTGTGATATAGTCACAAAGGTTATGAAATAGTAGTGGAAATAAACAAGATACATCTAAACTATTCAACATGAACCAGGTGTGGTGGCTCACGCCTGTAATCCCAGCATTTTGAAAGGCTGAGGTGGGTGGATCACTTAAATCTGGATTTCAGGCCTTGGTGGCTCACGCCTGTAATCCCAGCACTTTGGGAGGCCAAGGCGGGTGGATCACGAGGTCAAGAGATCGAGACCACCCTGGTCAACATGGTGAAACCCCGTCTCTACTAAAAATACAAAAAATTAGCTGGGCATGGTGGCGCGTGCCTGTAATCCCAGCTACTCAAGAGGCTGAGGCAAGAGAATTGCCTGAACCCAGGAGGCGGAGGTTGCAGTGAGCCAAAATCACACTATTGCACTCCAGTCTGGGTAACAAGAGCGAAACTCCATCTCAAAAAAAAAAAAAAAAAATGTGGATTTTGAGACCAGCCTGGCCAACATGGTGAAACTCTGCCTCTATTAAAAAATACAAAAAAATTAGCTGGGCTTGGTGGTGCAGCACCTGTAATCCCAGGGGTGTTCCTTTCTGGTTCTGGTGTGCTTGCCTGGCAGGCGGCTCCAGCATCCAGGTCTACCTCCAGCAGCACAATCAATTTCCCCAGCACCCAGCTCCTGCAGCACGGGTAACTTTACCAAGCTTCTTCAATCAAGCAGCTTTTCTAGTTCCCAGCTCTGAAAGGACAAGGTGGCCAGCAGCACCCGATAGCCTTGTCTGAAAGTTTTGTAACAAATGCTTCTGGTAAGACAACCCAGTCTGCCACAAAGGATGGATTCCTGGCAAATGCTAGAGGACAGATTTCCAGCAATTTCCACAGGTGCAGCACCACAGCAGGAACAGGATACGGCTAAGGTAAGTGAGGCACTTATGGCACAAAACTTGAGGTGTTCACTCTCAGATTGCCAACCCTGCACTTATAACCCTGATGATGATTGTCTTAAGAATGAAGAACCCAGAGTGCAAAATTTGAGGCATTCCGTCTCAGGGTCATGCAACTGTAGTTACATCTGGCAGTGAGTGCTTCTCACTGTCCTACTTGCTCATCTTAGTCCTAGCCCTTTACAGCGATTACTGTCATTCAGTGAGCCACAAATAAAAAAAAAACCCTCCCATTATTACTATTACCTCATACTAATAACAGATCCAAGAATAATTACCAATGAATGGATTTTAAACTAGTGGGGAAAAGTTTGGCAACCAGTTATTTACACAGTTACAAAGTATATCTCCACAAATTATCTATTAATTACAAATAGGCAACTACCAATATTACAGTGGAGAAACATGGTAGATATCCCCTTAACAAATTATCACAGTTAACATCTTGAGAAATGGAACAAGTCAGCATCATGTTTCTCCTGAGATGATGCACTGAGAAGGATACAATATTACCTTTATGATACTCCTGCCACAAAATTCATAACCTGAATGCAAGCATGAAGAACCATAAGACAAACCCAAATTAAGGGACTTTTTACAAAATAACTGGCTTCTCCTCTTCAACAATGCCAAGATCATGAAAGACAAAGGGAGAGCAGCTCTTCTAGATTAAAGCAAACTAAAGAGACATAATTAATAAATTTAATGTGTGATTTTAAAGTGGATCCTGGAAAGATGAGGAGAAAGGACAGGGTAGTTTGTTAAAAGGAACATCACTGGGATGAGTCAAAATTTTAAATATTGATTAGATAAGAGTATCATAAAAATGTTAAAATTTTAATAACTGTACTGTGGTTATGTAAGAGATATTCATTATTAGGAAATAAAGGGGCAAAATATCTGCCACTTAGTCTTAAATGGTACAAATAAAATGTGGGGTGTTTGTGTGTGTGTGTGTGTGTGTGTGTGTGTGGAGAGAGAGAGAGAGATCATTTTCTTTTATTTTTGGCCACTTCAAATACATTTTTGGAAGTGGGGAATATGAAAATTAAATATAGATTTAGATATAAATATAGGTATTTTCTAATATTTTTATGTTAATGACATCTGGTATAATCAAGCCTTCTTTGTATCATATCTTTTACTCTTCTCCCTTATCACGTCTCATTTTTCACTACCCTGTGGGAGGCCGAGGCAGATGGATCACCAGAGGTCAGGAGTTCGAGACCAACCTGGCCAACATGGTGAAACCCCGTCTGTACTAAAACTACATGAATTAGCTGGGCCCAGTGGCATGCACCTGTAATCCCAGCTGCTTGAAAGGCTGAGGCAGGAGAATCATTTGAATCCAGGAGGTGGAGGTTGCAGTGAGCTGAGATTGTGTCACTGCACTCCAGCCTGGGTAACAGAGCAAGACTCCGTCTCAAAAAGAAAAATAAAAAGAAGAACTGTGTCACTTTTATGTAGTCTTTTGTGAAAAAAAAAGAATGTCTATTCAAACAAAGTTAGAAAACAAAATCTACACTTATGTGGCTCAGATATTCATCCATATGTAGTAAAGCTCTAATGAAAGGCAAAGAAATGGCCACAGTGATTATCATCACAAGAGCACAATGTTGTTTGTGGCTGTGGAGAAGTACAGCACAAGCTTTTCAGTGATGGCTGTATTCTATTTATTGATCTGGGTACTACTTACGTGGGTCTTTATAATTACTTGTTAAGCTGCACAAATGGGTGTTTTACTGCACAAGTGGGTCCCATTTCTGTATCAAGTTTGAAGAAGAAAAAAGCCATAGGTATTCAAGTAAACGTTACGCATCTCTAAAAATATTTTCCAAATATATTATATGGGAAAATACTTAATTTTAAATGAAAATGTAGGATAGGCCAGGCGCAGTGGCTCACGCCTGTAATCCAAGCACTTTGGAGGCCAAGGCGGGCGGATCACCTGAGGTCGGCAGTTCAAGACCAGCCTGAACAACATGGTGAAACTCTTTTTTTTTTTACTCGAAACCACGTCTTTAAAAAAAAAAAAGAAAGAAAGTGTAGGATATAAAATGACAAATGCTACATGAATTCAGTTATGTTTTATGTGCATAGCTAAAATATAAATGTTCTTCATTCAGGATTTCTGTATTTTTTAAATTAAGACAATCATGTTTTACTTATACAATCTGAAAGAAGTCATTTTTTAAAAAGATAGCATAAGGAAAAATTAAAGCCAAGTGCAGTGGCTTACACCTGTAATCCCAGCACTTTGGGAAGCGGAGGCAGGTGGATGGATTGAGCCCAGGGGTGTGAGACCAGGCTGGGCAACATGGTAAAGCCTCATCTCTACTAAAAGTACAAAAATTAGCCAGGCTTGGTGGCACACATCTATTATTCCAGCTACTTGGAAGGCTGAGATGCAACAATTGCTTGAGTCAGGGAAGTGAGGCTGTAGTGAGCTGAGATCGCACCACTGCATTCCAGCCTGGGCAACAGAGCCAGACTGTTTAAAAAAAAAAAAAGTAAAGAAAAATTAAAACTGACAAATTAGTAAGATAAAATCAGGTGTGGGAGGTGGAGTTTGAAGACATCACATTTTCTCACTAGGGAAACTCCAGGGATCAGGTCATCTGATAGGCAAGAATTTTCAAGAAAAGGAAAGCAACTATGTCCTAACCAAGACAATGTGACTTCAGGAAACAAGAGGAAAGGACAAACTACCTTGCAGGTGCCTTGTGGACATTCAACAGCCATTCTTTACTCCTCTCCAGAGGCCTCTATCCAAGCAGGGCAGATCCGAGAAAGGAGAAGGGAGTCAGGAAACATCAGGTTCTTCTGAGAGGGAGACAGTTTGACTATGTCAGAAGTTCTCTTGGCTCAGCCCCTACTGCCCACAGCCTACAGAGGAAGTTCAGAGAAGTCTAGGGCGTCCTGCTCAATCCAGGGTCAATGCCGTTCTGAGCCGAATCTGTTTCTGAGCTCACAGAGGTCTCCAGTGGCTGAAGTCACAAAGAGAGACAAAGACTCCCCATACCCACATTGGCTATACGGACACATAGTCACACAAACTCATTCACTCACACCATGGGGACATAAACGTCACAGGCACCCCAAACCTAAACACAACAGGCTGCACATGGTCACACACACACACAAACACACACCACGGGGGCAGACAGGGACGCAACCAGAGTCCGTGGGCGTCTCTCAAACTCCCAGTGACATACACCTTGGGGTCACAATGACAACAAATTCACACGCACCCTACATAAGAATATCACCAACATGCGCGCGCGCGCGCGCGCACACACACACACACACACACGGAAGCAGCACAAACCTCACAGTTAAGGCAAATGGTAAACACACGCACCCCAAGGGAACACACATTCACAACCGCGGTCCAGGAACCTCACACTCGCAAACCCGGTGCCCAACCCAGTCACAATTAAACTCGGAATCACACCCGCACAAACATAAAAGGTCCTCCTCCCCGCCCTCACAGTTGCACACCGGGTCGCACAGACACACGCCCACCACAGAGACATCCATAGTCACAACCGTACACACTTTACAATCGCTCCTTAGTCTGCTCCCCACGCAGCCCACACAGATCCGGGGTTCCTGTCGCGCCAGGATCCGAGCCGCCTCACTTACGCCTGCTCGGGTAGGGTCAGCTCCGCTCCTCTGGAATCCAAACAAGCAGACCCTAGTTCTCTCACAAAGCCCCGAGGCCGTTCGCTCAGACCCGCGGGAAGACCCCGCCCACTCCGCAAAAGACAATTTAGTTATCGCGGGAGACATCCATGGGCCTAGAGGCTTCTGGGAAGTGTAGGAGCGACAGGTTGCCGAAAGCTACAGCCCAGCCATCCTGATTCCCGTGGCGCGGACTCTGGCACCAACAAAAGTATCTCTTTGAGCTAAGCCGCCCGTCAGAGCCTTCCAGGAGTCTCTCCTGACACGGACTCCCTAGATCAAGCTTTAGTAAGGCTCCTCTGAGCCCTTTTTGTTTGGCCAGGCCTCCTCCATGGCCTGCGAACCCCACTTTGGCAAGAATCCAGCTAAGCCAGTTCAGCAAGAATCCCCCCACCCTTGATACTGAACTTCCTCTTAGTAATTTACCATCCTTTAACTCCTTCACGCAGCCCGTTGGCTATAAATCTCCAGCTGCAATTGTATTGGAAATTGACTATTGCAATAGTCTTCAACAAAGTCCTTCTTGCCTGTTTAAGTCACCTGGTGCAAGTTTTCTTTCACCCCGCCCAACCTCAGAGGGTGGCTCCCAGGTTTCCGCCCCTTCTCCGGGAGACGAGCTTGGCCTCAGGGTCTCCTGGGAAACGTAGTCCAAGCCTCGCCGGGGACTGGATGGGTCCAGCCAAAGTTGGCTGCGTCCTCTGGGTCCTGAGGCGGGAGTCTGGCCGCAGTGACCAAACTAACTGTTCCCCGGAGGATGCTCCGAATTCCGCTTAACGTTGGAAGCACGCAGACGCTCTTGAGGCGGGCAGCTGCGGAGCGTATGGAGGACCCGGGAGAGCGCGCCCCAGTGTGGGACCTGAGCGTCTGAGACCGAACCAGGAGTAAGAGTCTGAAGGGGACAAATCCGCGATCCCAGCCAGGCATGTGAGACTGGGTGAAGGAGTGTATGTGAGACCGCAGTGGGACTGCTTGTGCTGCTGGGATGAGGAGTGTCTGGGTAGTTGAGTGAAAGAAACCGCATGCGGGTAAGATTGGTATGTGTGTGAGAGAGAGGTGAGGTCAAGATGTGTGCAGCTTTGGGGATGGAGAGGTCATATTGAGTGTGTGCAGGTGGGGGGCAACATCGTGTATGAATGTGTATAAGTGTGTGTAATCACCTAAATGTTGGTCACTGCATGGGTGCTGATACTGTGACTGTGGAGGAATCTGAACCTCCAAGTCTCATTTTCTCTTTAAATTGTGATAATAAGGTTGTATCTTCCTGGAGCATCAGTCTTAAAGGGGGGAAGCTTCATAACTGATATAATAACATAGCATTTTTAGGTAAACGTTTAACATTCAGACATTTCTTCTGAACTAGAATACAAAATTAATTAGAGTACTCAAAGTAGTTTTAAAAAGAAACCCATCGGCCGGGCGCGGTGGCTCAAGCCTGTAATCCCAGCACTTTGGGAGGCCGAGGCGGGTGGATCACGAGGTCGGCAGATCGAGACCAACCTGGTCAACATGGTGAAACCCCGTCTCTACTTAAAATTACAAAAAATTAGCTGGGCACAGTGGCGTGTGCCTGTAATCTCAGCTACTCAGGAGGCTGAGGCAGGAGAATTGCCTGAACCCAGGGGGCGGAGGTTGCGGTGAGCCGAGATCGCGCCATTGCACTCCAGCCTGGGTAACAAGAGCGAAACTCTGTCTCAAAAAAAAAAAAAAAAAAAAAGAAACCCATCATAATAGATGCATATGGGGAAGATAAATAGTGAAAGGGAAACTTCTTTTTCACGATAATCTTGTTTAAATTTTTTAAATCAACATGATGATTCATTTGAACACAAATATAAAATTAAAAAGCTGACAGAAAGGGGAGGTAGCAGGAAATGAATAATTTTTTAAGCTAGAAATTTTCGGAGGTGGTAGAGGTTGCTGAAACATGATGGCAGGAAGTATATGACAACAGGAAATGCTGATGTAAAATATAACCCTGAAGCTTTTAACAGTGGCGGAAAAGGCCAGTCACGGTGGTTCATGCCTGTGATCCCAGCGCTTTGGAAGGCTGAGGCCAGGGGATCACTTGATCCAAGAGTTTGAAACCAGCCTGAACTGCATACTCTCTACCCCACCCTGCAAAAAAAACCCTGTAATCCCAGCACTTTGGGAGACCGAGGTGGGTGGATCAAGACCACCCTGGCCAACATGGCAAAACCCCACCTCTACTGAAAATACAAAATTAACCAACGTGGTGGTACGTGCCTGTAATCCCAGCTATTCGGGAGGCTGAGGCAGGAGAATCACTTGAACACAAAAGGTGGAGGTTGCAGTGAGCTGAGATCACACCACTGCACTACAGCCTGGGTGACAGAGTGAGAATCTGACTCAAAAAAACTCCCAAAACAAGGAGACCTCCTCTTTCAACTTTAGAGGCCCCCTCCCTCTGTCTTTGTATGGGGGAGCTTCTTCCTTCTGTCTTCTCCCTTCCTTCTCGCCTATTCAACTCTCTGGTCCTTAAAACAAAACAAAACACCAAACAAACAAATGAAAAAAACAAAAAACAACAAAATTTGGACTACAGAGAAGTGATCCATACCTAACGTGCTCTGTTGCTGTAGTTCTCCAGCATCACATTCCTGTACAGCTCCATCTGAACATCTTTTAATTGTGGGTAAGGCTCTTGGTTGAATGAAGCGATCACATTTCTGTATGTTTACCCCACCGAGGTCTCCTAAAGAACAGAAAATAGAAAATGCCTGTAGGGAAGTCTGGGATATAAGCTGTCTGAACCTAGTTCTTTGTGTTTTTATGGAGGCTTCATTATGTAGGCATGATTAATTAAATCAGCAGTGATTGGTGATTAGTTCAACCTTCAGCCCTTTTCCTTTCCCTAGAAGTCACCAAGTAGGGCAGAACTTTCCAATCTTCTAATCACAGTTTGGTTGCCCTATCCTGTGGTTATGTAAGGACTTTTCTAACATTGCCTCATTAACTCAGTTGTGGTTGAAAGTGGTTTGTTGGCCGGACGTGGTGGCTCACGCCTGTAATCCCAGCGCTTTGGGAGGCTGAGACAGGTGGATCACGAGGTCGAGAGATCGAGACCATCCTGGTCAACATGGTGAAACGCCATCTCTACTAAAAATACAAAAAATTAGCTGGGCATGGTGGCGCGTGCCTGTAATCCCAGCTACTCAGGAGGCTGAGGCAGGAGAATTGCCTGAACTCAGGAGGCCGAGGTTGCAGTGAGCCGAGATCGCGCCATTGCACTCCAGCCTGGGTAATAAGAGCGAAACTCTGTAAAAAAAAAAAAGTGGTTTGTTATGAACAATAAAGACATCTTTCACATTTATTACTCTGGTGCTATTTCAGGAACTGAAGTGTCTTAGTCCCTTAGTACTGCTATAACAAAATATCTGAGACTAGGTAATTTGTAAACAATAGAAAATTATTTCCCACAGTTCTGAAGACAGAGACAGAGACTGGAGTTATGTAGCCATAAGCCAAGGGACACCTGGAGCCATCAGAAGCTGGAAGAGGCAAGCAAGGATTCTCCCCTAGGGCTTTCAGGAAAAATACAGCCCTGCTGATGTCTGGATTTTGGACTTCTGGCCTCTAGATCTGTAAGAAAATAAAATTCTTACATAATTCGGTTGTTTTAAGCCACCAAGTTTGTGGTAATTTGTTATGACAGCCCTAGGGAAGGAATACACAAGTAGCCCCCTAAAGATTCTAACTTAAAGAATAGGTTTATTTCTCACTCACCTAAGAGATTTCAGTTTAATGGGACACTTTAACTCCATTTACCTCCATCCTCATTTTTGCTTTATTTTTGTTATTTCATTCTGCATACATTCAAAACCCCAGAGGGCAATATATTACTTTGTGCAGTCAATATTCATTTATATTAATTCACATATTTACTCTTTCTATTGCTGTTCCTTCCCTACTAAATTTCTTTTTCTTTATTGGAAACAGGGACTCTGCTACCTAGATTGAGTGCAGTGGCATGATCATGGTTCACTGCAGCTGCAACCTCCCAGGCTCAAGTGATCCTCCCACCTCAACCTCCTGAGTAGCTGGGACCACAGATGTGCTCCACCACACCTGACTAATTTTTGACTTTTTGTTGAGATGAGGTCTTGCTATATTGCCTAGGCTGGTCTTGAGCTCCTGGATGCAAATGAACCTCCACCTGGCCTCCCAAAGTGCTGGGGTTACTGCTATCAGCCTCTATGCCCAGCCTACCTTTCTTTTTGTTTCATCCATTTAGTATTTCTTTTACTGGCATGCTGATGGCAATGGATTCTCATGGTCTGTCTGAAATGTCTTTTTTTCCTTTCTTTTTTGAAGGAGATTTTTGCTAACTATAGAATTCCAGGTTGGTTTTTTTTTTTTTCCTCAGTTTTGGTGAACTTCTTGAACCTATGTTTGCTTTGTTTAATCAGTTTGGGGAAATTCCTTGCCATTATCTCTTCAAATATGATTTTTCTCCATGCTCTCTCTACTTTTCTTTTGGGACTTCAATTATATATACCAGGTTGCCTAAGGAGGGGTGAACCAACCCAGGTCAGAAATGGAGCAGATCAAAACTCCCGTGCTGATCAGTAGTGGGATCACGCCTGTGAATAGTCACTGCCCTCCAGCCTGGGCAACATAGCCAGAGCCTGTCTCTAAAAAAAAACCAAAAACCGAAACAAACAAAAAGTACTTCTAGAACTTAAAAAAATTAGTATTATACTAATCAAGACAGAAAATTTGTACAATTTGGTTGTATTTATTATTTCAAAGAGAGATTGAAACTATTAAAGAGTCAAGATATTAACCTGAAGGTGAGCTGGGGCTGGTTATCAGAAATGATCACACAGGCTGGGTGCAATGACTTATGCCTGTGATCCCAGCATTTTGTGAGGCCTAGGTGGGAGGACTATTTGAGCCCAGGAGTTCGAGACCAGCCTGGGCAACATGGTGAGACCCCATCTCTACAAAAATTAGCTGGGTGTGATGCCATACACCTGTAGTCCCAGCTATTCTGGCGGCTGAGGTGGGAGGATCACTTCAGCCAGGAAGGTGGAGGTTGCAGCGAGCCTAGACTGTACCACTGCACTCCAGCCTGGGTGGCAGAGCCAGACCCTGTATCGAAAAAGAAAAAGAAATTATCCCGTAGAATGGGCATTTGTTCTTGAGATACCAACATTTGTGTGGCGTTTTACTGAACTTACACATTTTATGCACTTCAAGTGTTTTGTTTCACAATTTTAAAAAAACCAACTATTTTAATTACCTGATAAATTTGAAAGTACGGAAAAAAATTACTCCTCTGTCAGAAACTTTAGATGTAGATCTAAATAATGTATATCTAAAAGAGAAGCAAATGAAAAAAAGGTAGCAAGCGTGTATTTCAGCCAAAAGAATGGAATGAATAGAATTTACAAAACAATATTAATGTGACTATAAACATTAATTGAAAACGAACACTTTAAGGACGATTAGAGGATGGGAATAAGGTATTAGGAAGAGTTCTTATGGATTCCTCGGCAGGGGACCCCTGTAGGGCTGGTCATGTAATTGTGTCCCTTGGACCGTTTCCCCTTCGTTCTACCCCAGACTGGTACTTGTGGGATAAGAGATATCCACCCAGCCGTATCGAGGCTCGGGCAGAGTCGGGACAGGCTCGCCATTCTCTTGGCACAGTCTTGTAGGACTTTCCCGCCACGCCACATGGGTCAGAGGCCAACGTCTTGAACTCCTGCTGAAAACAGTCGCACCATACCGCCTGAGCATTTCTGCAGCGTTCCAGGCTCTGGACTACATTTCCCACGGGCCATCGGGGCCAACGCTACTTCCAGCCTAAGATGGCCTGGGCTTACTGTCCTATTCCCAGGGCTAGGCGCAGGTTTGCAGAGGTAGGGCAGCCTACAGGCCTCCGCTGAAGCGTGCTAAACGCGGCCTGGAATGCTCGGAAGCTCTCCACCGCAAATGTGAGCGGTGTGTGGGCCATGGTCTTTGCCTAGCGAGGTGATGGGGCTCAAGTTCAGGGCCGGTTAATGGAGACCGGGATATCTCGGACTGTTAAAGGCGGCCGAGGCTCCAGACTACATTTCCCAGAGTGCACTGTTCCCCGGCAACTTCCTGTCGGTGCTCTGTCCCTTTCGCGATGATAGCGAAATAGGGGAACCTTTCACCGTCAAGGGACGGCAGGACCGGGTGAGTGACTCTAAGACAGGAGCCGAATGACTTCGGAGGGCCTGAGGCCGGGGCTGAGGGGAGTGAGGGGCTGACGTCCTTGGAGTCGGTGGCTTTGCCTGCGAGGGAGCGTCGGGGGCGAGCGATCGCCATGGGAGCCGTCTGGGCGTGAGTGAAAGCGGTGCAGGAGCGGGGCGTGGGGGTGACCGCGATGGGAGCTTCTAGGGTGTGTGTGTACACGTGTACGCGCACGCGACGGTAACGGGCGCTGTGTGTGACCATAGTGGACTCTTTAAATGTGACTGTATGTACTTATGACTGCATCTCACGTTGTGCGTGACCACCTGCGTAAAGTGGTGATAGCCCCCCCATGAGTGTAAAAACAAAGAATTGAGCGTTGCGTTGAGTGACAGGCATAGTCCTTCGTGAATGTGTGGGGAGCAGTTTCTGTGCTGGCCGGTAGCTGGATTGGAGTGGGGGCAATCTAGGAGGGGAGAAGAATGGGAGACAGTGTAGACAACAATTTCAAGAGTTTCTCTGTAAATTAAGACAGAGAAATGTAGCAGCAGGTGGGAGTAAATGGCTGGGGAATAACAACCAATCAACATGCTGTTGGGAATTAGTCTTGAGGAGGGAAAAGTCCAGGCAAGAGTAAGTAAACCAGGCTCATCTGTGTGGTTGTGGTTAAAAATGCAAGATTTTTTTTTTTTAAGGGTAATAGTGCTGCAGAGAGCAAAGCATGAGCTCAAGATTTCAGATATAGAGTGAAAATAGTCTGTGTTTGGTAGAGATCAACAAAAGTGAGATGTGGTGAGTTTATATATAATTTCATGGCAGGAAATTCAAAACTAGACTTTGTGGAGGAGGGAAGGAAGAAAGGTCTGAAAGTAATAAACAGCAAGGAGGTCAGCCATTTGTTCCATTTTCAGGCCCACTGGTAAGAGGCGGTAGCTGGGGAAATGTTGAGAGGGCTGCAGAGTCCTCCGGATAGAGTCTGGTTTCCGTTAGACTCCGAATGTGAAGGGCGCGTTCAAGGAAGTCGTTGACGATAAAAGGAGTTGGTTGTTAATGAATTATGAATTCTATTATGAGGGCATACAGGAAGAGTGTTGAAAGTTGAGGAAGAATGAGAAAAGGGCACAAATGGGACTTGATGGATTACAATGTCTGAAAACAGACAGTTGACTAGAAATTCTGGGGCTTCTTACAGTGGATAAATGTAAATGCAAAGTTGGAATGACACTTATTCTGGTTGGATTCAAGTCAGTTTTGGAGAGACAGCATTGGGGTAATAAAAGGTGATTTCTTGAGTGTGAGAAACAACCTTACCTGTCCAAATCCAAAGAATGGACTCAGAGACCCGGAGAACAGCAAAAATGAGACTTTTAATGATGGTCTTGCAAGATCGTGTGTCTGATAGGCAGGCACACCTAGCACAATTTCAACAAGCAATTTATCCCCTATGAGATAAATAAAACTCAGCCTATGAGAAACCAGGGGAGTGCACAGGTTCCTCCCCTGATTTTTCATAGGCTGAGTACTATGGGGGTCAGTCTTCCCTGACGTCACCTATTGATTGTTGGGTAGGTGCTTCAGGTGTTTTTTTTATTGTTGCAGCCCACAATGCATTGCAATCCTAGTTTGCTCAGGGGCTTGTTAAGTATTTGACTTATGACCCAGGTAGCTGGGCAGGCTGATAAGAACAGACAAAACGAGGGCTGGGCACGGTGGCTCAAGCCTGTAATCCCAGCACTTTGGGAGGCCGAGGCGGGTGGATCACGAGGTCGAGAGATCGAGACCATCCTGGTCAACATGGTGAAACCCCGTCTCTACTAAAATACAAAAAATTAGCTGGGCATGGTGGCGCATGCCTGTAATCCCAGCTACTCAGGAGGCTGAGGCAGGAGAATTGCCTGAACCCAGGAGGCGGAGGTTGCGGTGAGCCGAGATCGCGCCATTGCACTCCAGCCTGGGTAACAAGAGTGAAACTCCGTCTCAAAAAAAAAAAAAAAAAAAAACAGACAAAACGAGCTATTTTGCAGGCTAGCAAAATGTCATCGTAGGCTAAACTTCTTTGGCTTGGGTGAAGGCAACTAAGGCGGGAAAAGGCCGGGAAGCGGGAGGCTGACAAGCAGGCATCAGGTATCCAAGCAGGGGCCTAGTTTATCCTGTTTCTTCTGTAGTTTGCTTACCTAAGCTGATTCAAGGCACTTTGTCTTGGAAATGGACCACTGTATACATTATTTCCTTCATCGAATATCTCTCAAAAAGAGGGAAGCTTAAGATACAAACCATAAAGGGTCGAGATAGGCAGAATGATGGCTCTGCAGCCAATATTCACTTCCTAATCCCTGGAACCTGTGACTATGTTACCCTTATATGACAAAAGGGACTTTGCAAAGGGGATGAAGTTTAAGAACCTTGAAATGGGGGCAATTATCTTGTTGGATCCAATATAATGACATGGGTCCTTAAAGTCAGTGAACCTTTCCTGGCTGAGTTTAAAGTCAGAGGGAGGTGTGACCATAGAAGAATGGTAAGAGAGATGCCACCTTGCTGGCTAGATAGAGGAAGTGGGCCTTGAGCCGAAGAATGTTGGTGTTCTCTAGAAGCTGGGAAACAGAAGAAAATGAATTCTCCCCTGGAGCTTCCAGAAAGGAACACAGCTCTACCAACACCTTGATTTTAGCCTAGTAAGACCCAACTCAGACTCCTACTGAACTATAAGGTAATAGATTTGGTTACCAAGGTACTATACATGGTGTAGTGTCTTGGCCTCAGTGTTGTGGAGGAGTCTTGATCCTTGTGACACAAGGAGACCTCAACATAATCAACTGATTATGTTGAAGACTCCCAGTAAAGTACATAGGTCCCCTCTTCACCGATAATATAATTTACAGTTTTGCTATACTGTGTTACTTTTAAACTTTGGAACTTAATGAACTTTTATTTATGACCTAATATAAGTCTGTAGTCACTTTTTGTCTTGCACTTGATTTGTCTTGGATTGAGAGAGGTGTATTAAACTTCTCTATTAATGAAATTTTATTTCTTATATAACCTGTAATTTTTGCTTTATGAAAGTTGTTGCTTTATTAGTTGATATACAGATACTGATTGTTATATATTTATTATGGGTTGCAGACTTTGGCATGCTCAAGATCATGGCCTCTCATTTTTTTGTTGTCGACATTTGCCTTGTAAAAAGGTGTATTTTTCCCTAATTAAACTTTTTTTTTTTTTTGAGACGGAGCTTCGCTCTTGTTACCTAGGCTGGAGTGCAATAGCGCATTCTCGGCTCACCGCAACCTCTGCCTCCTGGGTTCAAACGATTCTCCTGTCTCAGCCTCCCAAGTAGCTAGGATTACAGGCATGTGCCACCATGCCCGGCTCTCTTTGATATATTTATTTCCTTGTTTTTTTTTTGAGACGGAGTTTTGCTCTTGTTACCCAGGCTGGAGTGCAATGGCGGGATCTCGGCTCACCGCAACCTCCACCTCCTGGATTCAGGCAGTTCTCCTGCCTCAGCCTCCTGAGTAGCTGGGATTACAAGCACGTGCCACCATGGCCAGCTAATTTTTTGTATTTTTAGTAGAGACGGGGTTTCACCATGTTGACCAGGATGGTCTCAATCTCTTGACCTCGTGATCCACCCACCTCGGCCTCCCAACGTGCTGGGATTACAGGCGTGAGCCACCGAGCCCTAATTGGACTTTTTTTTTTTGAGACGGAGTTTCGCTCTTGTTACCCAGACTGGAGTGCAATGGCGTGACTTGGCTCACCGCAACCTCCGCCTCCTGGGTTCAGGCAATTCTCCTGCCTCAGCCTCCTGAGTAGCTGGGATTACAGTCACGCGCCACCATGCCCAGCTAATTTTTTGTATCTTTAGTAGAGACGGGGTTTCACCATGTTGACCTGGATGGTCTCGATCTCTTGACTTCGTGATCCACCTGCCTTGGCCTCCCAAAGTGCTGGGATTACAGGCTTGAGCCACTGCGCCCGGCCAATTAAACTTTTTATTGAAGTTTATCATAGATACAGAAAAGTGTATACATGATAATAAAATCAAACAAACAAGCTGGGCGTGATGGCTCACGCCTGTAATCCCAGCACATGGGGAGCCCGAAGCAGGTGGATCACCTGAGGTTAGGAGTTTGACCAGCCTGTCTGACATAATGAAAACCTGTATCTATTAAAAATACAAAAATTCACTGGGCATGGTGGCGGGTACCTGTAATCCCCCCAGCTACTTGGGAGACTAAAGCAGGAGAATCGCCTGAACCCAAGAGGCAGAGGTGTCAGTGAGCCGAGATCGTGCCACTGCACTCCAGCCTGGGTAACAAGAGCAAAACTCCGTCTCAAAAAAAAAAATAAAATAAAATAAAATATTACCTGTACCCTAGAAGTTCCTGGTTCTGTTTAGTCAGTAGCTCTAAGTAACCACCATACATCAATTTTGTCTGTTTTTGAACTTATATATATGCAGAATTATATAATGTGTACTCTTTTGTGTTGTGTCAGGGTCCGGCACGTCTGCCGGCGGACTACCGACCAGCGGGAGTCCCCGAGACCGCCAACGTAGATGTCTCGTTCAACCTGAGAGAGAGAGTGCGTGGAAGTGAAAGAAAATAGAAAAGTGGAGTCTGGAGGGCTGGCAGCGCAGCGAGCGTAGCACAGCACAGTGCAGCGCAGTGCAGCGCAGCACAGCGTAGCACAGCGTCTTTATTCGTGTGGGTTACAGCTTTTATACCTTTTTTCTTGTTGCGTTTACTTTATCTCAGTAGAAAGAAAGGGGTAAACAGAAAGGAAATAGAAACTCCATAAAAAATAGTTATCAGGGGCTTGTGATATCCGCTCAGAAAGCAGTTTTCGGGGGCTTGTGATAGTAGTTTACATTTCAAAGATTTTACATTTCAAAGATACAATGGCGCCCTTAAGGTGGCTGGTTAAACCTCTTTTTCATCAGGAACTAAAACAAAGGCTTAGCTCCAGGGAAAATATGGGCAGAGGTCTCTGCTCCT